ATTTTCCAAGTTGCCCCCGGGTCCCCCCAGCCTGTTCTCACCCACAGGGCTCCGTGCGACCTGGGCTGCCTTGACATCAAACAGTGCAGTAGGTAAAAAAAAAAAAAAAAAAAACAAAACTGTCCGGGTTAAAACATCTGAAACGTGGGTTTTTGAAAATATCTAATTTATAATTATCTAATTAATATTTAATTGAATGCTGTGCGGTATTGCCCAGTTTGGGGACCCGCTGTGACTGGCGAGGTCTATTATGCAGATCAATGTCCTGTCCTTCACTGGCTTCCTGCCTGTGGGAAGGGCCAGTGGGTGGGGGGCGCTGTGCAGGGTCCCCAGGGCCGCTCAGGGGTCAGCTGATGGGGTACCTGCTGTGAACAGACGCTCAGGACTGCTTTAATTTTTCCTCCCCAAGTTAGTGATTCAAACTGTAGGGTTAGAATTTTCCACCTGACATTTGGGAGTCTCAAAAGACCTTTACCCCCCGCACAAGTTTTCCTGAAAGAACAAGTTCTTAGGGGTAAAACTTTGTTTTTATGGTGACAGCTGCAAACGTTTTCCTTATCAAGTAGATACTTTCCATCATATGTAGCAACTCCCAAACATTCTCCGCAGCTACTGGATGCTGTTATCACCAATTCAAGATACAAGTTCAGGCTTTGGAAGAAACACACGGAAGATTTCAGCATCAGAAATGATGATCCCTAAATACTTCTATTATTACAGTAGTTTAAGAATCTCTAGTGATGCGAGGGGCATAGAATTTTTCAAAAGGCAAAAACTCTGTCAGAGAAGAGGCAAATTAGCAAATTGACAAGAAGTTAATGAAGATATCACCCATCTATTGATTTATTGATTTTTAATTCCACCATAGTTAACATACAGTGTTATATTATTTCAGGCATACAATACAGTTATTCAATAATTCTGTACATTACCCAGTGCTTATCACCATAAGTACACTCTTTTGCCCAGAAATATTCATCATGCATCCATTTTATTTTATTTTATTTTTTCATGCATCCATTTTAAATTGAACATTGGTATTATGGGTTGAACCGTGCTCCTGTAAAATGCATGTGTTGAAGCCCTAACCCCTGGTACCCCAGAAGGTAGCCTTTTTTGGAAATAGTGTTTTGGTAATTAGCCAAAATGAGGTCATTCGGGGGTAGCATGAGCTCTTAACCCAGGTCCACTGGTGTCTTTATAAAAAGAGGGAATTTGGACACAGACACACACCTAGAAATGCACATTTGGACACAAAGGAGAAGACTATGTGAGGATGCAGGCAGAGGGCAGAGTGCTTTCACAAGCGGGGAACGCCAACCATTACCACTAGAGCTAGAGGGAGAGTCAGAGCAAGCTCTCCTCCCAGCTCAGGAGGAAGCAGCCCTGCCCACACCCTAAGCTCAGACTTCTGGCTTCTAGAGCTGTGAGGTAGATTACACTCTGGGGCACCTTGTTATGACAGCCTCAGGACACTAATATAACCAGTGTTCTACTAGGAGGGGATCTTGATTTAAAATTTATTTATTTATTTTTAGATATGATTACTATTTTTTAAGGATTTTATTTATTTATTTGAGAGAGAGAGCAAGAGACCAAGCACAGAGGCAGAGGGAGAAGCAGACTCCCCACTGAGCAGGGAACTCGATGCAGGACTTGATCCCAGGATCCTGGGATCATGACCTGAGCCAAAGGCAGATGCTTAACCCACTGAGCCACCCTCGTGCCCCTAAAATTTATTTTTTTAATGCTCTGTATTAAGTAATTACCATTCATTTCATTTCAAAGCATTAGGAAAATCAATGCAGGCGTTCCCCTCCAGGGAGGGAGTTAGGGTCACAGCTCCTTCAGAACTAACATTTAAAAATGAGCCTGAGGGATCCCTGGGTGGTGCAGCAGTTTAGCGCCTGCCTTTGACCCAGGGCACGATCCTGGAGACCTGGGATCGAATCCCATGTTGGGCTCCTGGTGCATGGAGCCTGCTTCTGTCTCTGCCTCTCTCTCTCTCTCTATCATAAAAAAAAAAAAAAGAAGTTTGCTTAATAAACTTTAAATAAAATAAAAATGAGCTTGATCTCAAATATTTTTTTTCTTATTGCTGGCTGGTGATGTATTATGTTGACTGATGATTTATTACTATTTCTAATTTTTAAACATTTTTAAATGTAGTAACATATTTTTAAAAGAGCCCTTCAATTCCCAGGTGTTATATAGAAGTGATGAATCACTGAATTCTATTCCTGAAACTAATATTACACTGTATGTTAAACTGAAATTTAAATAAAGATTTGGAGAAAGTGGCAGCCCGGGTGGCTTGGTGGTTTAGCGCCGCCTTCAGCCCAGGGCCTGATTCTGGAGACCTAGGATCGAGTCTCATGTTGGGCTCCCTGCATGGAGCCTGCTTCTCCCACTCCCTCTCTTTGTCTCTCATTAATAAATGAGTAAATTCTTAAAAAAAAAAAAAAAAAAGAAATTTCTTTAAAAAAATTTGGAGAGAGAAAACATAAAAGAAGAGATGTGTACTAACTTGTTTATAATGGAAATAGATATGATATCTGGGTTTTGTGTTATGGATTTTGGTGGCGAGAGGAATGATGCACAGCGATGAAACAGGATTGGCTGTGGGTTATTAACTTAGAGGCTAAGCAATGTATATACCACAGTTCATCATACTATCCCCTCTGCTTTTGTACATGGCTTTAAATCTATATAAATTTAAATACTATTTGATTATACAAAAACAAAATGATCTTAACCTCCTTAACCCAGTGATCAAATTTAGCATCACTAATGAGATGGCCAAACATCGTGTGTTTCCGATGGGACGCAGTTCAGAAGTGCACAGCATCACCTGTAAAATGTTCTTGTCAAAAACTCAACTTAGATCTAATCGAGGCTTTTTTAAAAAAAAAGATTTTATTTATTCATTCATGAGAGACACAGAGAGAGAGGCAGAGACACAGGCAGAGGGAGAAGCAGGCTCCACGCAGGGAGCCTGACGTGGGACCCGATACTGGGACCCCAGGATCAGTCTTTGGGCTGAAGGCAGGTGCCAAACTGCTGAGCCACCCAGGGATCCCCACTTGATTCATTTCTAATGCATGAAATAACATGATCTAATAAGTGTAGTAACTTCAAAATAATGAATTTATACGATAGCTCTGAGATCTATACAAGAACTGCAATGTGAGTGAAAACATCTAATTTATAGTGTGGCAAAGCCACAGGTGTTGCTGGGGTTACTGCACTTTGTTTCCTTCATCTATAATGAAAGGAAATGCTAAATTTCATTTTAAATGTGGTTGAAATAAGGGTGTAATTTTGCACCTATATGAGTTCATGGATCCTTTGAATTGTATCCACAGATTTTCACCTTAGGAATTTGGGGCCTAGATGTAAAGATTTAAGAGACTTAACCACCAAATGCAAACTGTCACTTAATAGATTGTTTCGAAAAAAAGAAAAATAAGCAACAAACATTCAAATATTTTAGGAGCAAGTGAGGAAACATGGAATAGGAATTGTATGATTTTAGGGAACCACAGTTAATTGTGTGTGTGTGTATGATCGTGGTATCGTGGTAAATGAGAGAATGCCTTTCTATGTTGGAGGTGCGTATTGAAAAAGTCAGGCATGACACATAATGAATTATTCTTTCTAGTTAGAAAATTCTATGTTTGAAAATCTCCTATATCTAAAATAAGGGGACTTTTTTTTTTTTTTTTTTTTTTTAGAGAGAAAGGAAGAAAGAGCAGGCAGGGCTGGGACAGTGTGCAGAGGAAGAGAATTTTAAGCAGGCTCCACACCCAGGATGCAGAGCTAGATGCAGACCTGGATCCCAGGACCCTGAGATCAAGACTTGAGCCAAGATGAAGTCAGATGTTTAAGCGACCGCCCCACCCAGCCACCCCCAAATAAAGTGACTTTTAAAGATATTTTTTAAGGTACATGGTAGGTATGGTGATGTGCATGACTCCTAAGTGCACAGCTTGATGCCTCCTCACCTATGCCAACAGCAAGTAACCACAGCAGAGGGAGAAGCAGTACCCATCCCGCACCCTCAAGCTCGCCCGGCCCCCTCCCACCCTCGTTTACCACTCACTCCCCTGATGCTGGACTCCCTCCTACAGGAAGACCAGGCTGTGGGAACCGATGGTAGCACGTTTGACAAAGCTGTGGGGAAACAGGCTCTTAAAGGGTTGCTGGAAATGTCAGCTGATGAGGCCTTCACCGGGGCTACCAACGTGCTCCCCTTGGATTCCGGGGCCTGCATAGATTCGTGTACACCAGTGTCCCGCAGCGGAGCAGCCTCTGAGGCCTGCAACACCGCCGACACCAGACAAGTTAAGGTCTGTTCATCCTTAGGGATGCGGCGAGCGCACAGACGCGCTGCAGGCTCACGGGGTGGACACGCACCCACAGGGACCCCGCAGGGAGCTCAGGGAAATGTCCGCACTGCACCTGGACGGGGAGGCTCGGCGGGGAGAGGCCGGGCAGGGGGTTGGCGGACCGCGCGGGAGGCCGGGCAGAGGGGAGGTGGACCCGGGTCGTGCAATCACAGCTTCCAGGCAAACCCCAAGTTCTCCGTGACGACACAAGGTGGGGGGTGCCAGGTGCCGGCAGCAAGGGGCACCCACGGCCGCCACCCGCACCCGCACCCCCACCCCCACAGCCGGGTTACTGGGACCGGGGCGGCCCCGAGGAGCCCCGAGCGAGGGAGGCGGGCGGGCTCGCAGAGACCCTCACTCCCGTGGGGTGCTTCAGGGGTGCGGACGGGCGGGGTGGGGGCCCTTCCCCTCCCCCTCCCGGTGCCCAGGACTGCTGCCCCTCCCCCGCCCCGTTCCCGTCCTCGTCCCCGCGGAACTACGAGTCCCGGCATGCCCCGGGGCGGCGCGGGCCTCAGGGCGCGTGCGCGGCGGGCGGCCGTTGGCTGGGGCGGCGGCTGCGCGGTGGCGGCGCGGTGAGGTCTGCGGGCGCTGGCAAATCGGGCCCAGGATGTAGAGCTGGCGGCGGCTGACGGCGCGTCTGACGCGGAGCTGGGTGGGGTAGAGAGTAGGGGGCGGTAGTCGGGGGTGGTGGGAGAAGGAGGAGGCGGCGGCGAATCACTTATAAATGGCGCCGAAGCAGGACCCGAAGCCCAAATTCCAGGAGGGTGAGTCGGGGCCCCCGGGGAGAGGCGGCGGGGGCGCGGGGCCGGAGCCGGGGGCGCGGGGCCGGGGGCGGCGGGGGCCGGGGGCGGCGGGGGCCGACGCGGGCCGCGGCCGGGGGCGCGCAGCGCTTGATGCGGCGGGCGCATTGCGGCGGCGGCGGCGGCGGCGGCGGGCGCGGGCGGGGAGGCCGGGGCGGCGGGGCAGCGGGCGCGGGGGCCGCCCATTGTGGGGAGGCGGCGGGCGCGGCATGGCGGCGGCGGGGCGCTGATGTGGCGGGGGGAGGGGCGGCGGCGGGGCAGGCCCGCGGGGGAGGGGCGGGGCGGGGCGGGGCAGCCCGGGGGCGGCGGGCGCGGCGGGGGGCCCGGGGGCCGCGGGGGGGCGGGGGGAGTGGGGCCCCCGCGCGGGAGCGGAGCGCTGCTGCGAAATGGCCGCTGCGAGGCGAGGCGAGGCGAGGCGAGGCGAGGCGAGGCGGCCGCGCCATCATGGCGGCCCGCGCGGGCTGCGCAGCGCCCCCTCCCGGCGGCCGCGCGGGGCTTTGTGCGCGCGGGGCCGCGGCGGCGCGGGTGGGCGGGGTGCCCCCTGCGCCTGCCCGCCCCGGCCCGCCCGCCGCCCGCCCCGCCCGGCCCGCCCGCCCCGCCCGCCCCGCCCGCCCGCTAGGACCCCGCGCGCCGGAGGGGGCGCCCTGCCTCCGCGGGGAGGGCTCCCGCCCGGGCGTGCAGCGCTGCAACTCGGCGTCCAGCGCGGTTGGGACTCGTTTGGTTTTGTAAAATTTATTATTACTATTTTTTAAGATTTTATTTATTTATTCACGAGACAGAGAGAGAGGCAGAGGGTGAAGCGGGCTCCCTGCGGGGAACCCAGTGTGGAACTCGATTCCAGCGCCCTGCAGCCATCCCTGAGCTGAAGGCAGACGCTCAGCCACTGAGCCAGCCAGGCGCCCGGGGCGTTAGGATTCCGGTGATGGATCTGCCCGCCCCACCCTACCACCCCCCGCAGCAGCCCCCGCAGGACATTTGCATCTCCAGCCCTGCGGTGTGCGTGCACGCCCCTGACCCGAGGTCGCGGTGGTTGTCCGGAGCTTCCGGAACGTCCGCACTGCGGTTGGAGTGTTCAGGCGCAGTTTTGTCTCTGGCTGGCCGTGTGGTTGCTGTATGGACGGAACCGTCCTGGGCGGGGCCCCGAGGTGCTCCCTGCTGGGTGGTAGTGGAGAAGGGCCACTGCCTGGGCTCAGCCCTGCCGGCTTTCCCCGGGAAAGTGCTCCACCAGGGGTGGGGGGCGGCTGCAGAGCCACGTGCTGCGCTGACCTCTGCAGATCGTGTCCAGGGCCATCGCTTCCACGGGGTTCCCCTCTCTGGCCTCCTCTAAGTGGTTGGTTGTAGGACAGGTTCAGAGAGCAGGAATGCCTTGCCGGTGGGCACAGAGTTAGTTGTTGGGGCACCGCAGGACTGATTGGTCAGAAACTGTTTCTGCTTATGGTTGCTGTAAACTCGGAGGTTTTTCATGAGGTTCAGCACGTTGTAGGTAAGCAGTGTTTGGGTGCAGCGACACATCTGTCTGTATGGGACTCCATTCTCCTTTTGAAATTCTGATACAGCACAGAGTAAACTATTGGCGTCTAGCCTGCTGTCAGGGAGGACCTTTTTGCCTTGTCAGGAATTCACCGGTGGTAGTAGCTTCTAGCATTTCCAGTGCACACAGGCCAGTGGGTGGAGGGGGCCTGGAGTCTCATGGACCTTGATGGAAGAGCAATGGACAGAATTACCTTTGTTTCAGGTTACCGGAAGGATCAAGAGTGGGCAAAGGCTTTACAAGCCGTATCTGATATGCTGGTGTGCTCTTTTCCCCCATTACAGGTTTTTCTCCACGTACATGAAAACTAGGCCGTAGGTGTTTATTACCCTGGCTCCTATGCCTCCTGTTCACTGTGTATTCATCAAGACAATAGGACGGTCAGGTAGCCAGAATGGAGGTCAGAAGGGTCTCAGTCTCAGGACAGTAGACTTTTGCAGCAGCCAAAAAGGAATAAAGTCATTTTCAGGGTGTCTTTATTCTTTTTAACAGGTTCCATGCCCCACGTTGGGCTCCTGACACAGGGCTTGATCTCACCCCCTAAGATCACGACCTGAGCTGAGATCAGGATTTGGATGCTTCACTGAGACTGAGCCGCCCAGGCGTCCTTAAGGATGTTTCTAAACTGTGCCTGGAGAGTGAAGTTAGGAGACACAAGTCTGTTGTTAGCGTTGGACCTTCCTTATATCCCCAGGGTCTCATCCTTGCCCCTGGTATTCAGTGATGGCTCCAGCCCAGCTCCCCCTTGGGCTCTGGACTTGTATACCCAACTGCTTCCTAGACGGCTCCATTTTGGGTGTGCTGGATCCACTCTTCAACAGTCCAAAACTGGTCCCCCCCTCCCCCATTTCCTGTTCTGGTTAATGCTTCCACAGTCTGGAAGTCTTTAAATTACCACTTTTGCATAGTCGTTCTTCACATGTCCCTGCTTTTGGTTCAGACCTATTTCTGATTTCACCGTGGACTGCTTATTTGTAGTCTCCACTTGAAGCTCTGCATAGGCCCAGGAACCTCTGCACGAGAATTAACATGGAGAACTTTGATCAAAGTAAAGTTCCTGGGGCTGCTCAGAAGGGTCTCATACAGGTCCCTGGTGTAGCTTGAAAATCTGCCGTTTTAAAAAAAACTCCTGAGATTCTTGATCACATTTGGGAATCCTCACACAATAAAGTCCAGACTTCATAATGTGGGACTCCGTGATCTGTGTAGCTTTGATTTCTACTTTCATATGTTTATCCTGTATTCCAGTGATAGTGAACTATTTATACTTAAATGGTAGGTAGCCTAATAGTGTCTCCTTGTCATGTTTCTGTGCTTTTGTACTGGTTGCTTTCCTGCATAGGGCTCACCTGCAGGCAGCCTGCTTCCCCCTATGCCTATGTTTTTGCCTCTCTCTCTTATCTCTCAGGAGTAAATAAATCTTTAAAAAAACAATAAATTGGTGAAAACCTTATTGCCCTATAGTTTTAAGAGTTGAGCTGGAGGTGCCTGGGTAGGTTAAGCATCTCACTTTGGCTCAAGTCATGATCTCAGGCTCCTTGCTCAGCAGGGAGTCTCCTTCCTCTTCCCCTCTTCCTCTGTGCGCTACTCTCTCAAAATCTTTAAAAAAAAAGTTGAGCTAGTAGGTCATTTTTAACGATTTTAGAGCTGAAAGAGCTGTTTGTGGTGGAGTACTTTTGTTACCTTTGGGTCTGATGAAATCCAAGGGGACTGAAAATAACGTGCAAGAAAATCCATTTCTATAGTAATTGAAAGTGATCTTCAGGTACTGCCAGGAATTCACTGCCTGATTGTCTGATGAGCCAAGTTGGCTTCCACATCTTAATCCCTTACATTTAGTTACTCTTACAAGTCTTAATTGTAGGTTTGACGTAGAGTATGATTTCTGAAAGTTAGAATTCTTATTTTAGTTGGCCAGTAAAAGGTTTGGAAGGAGAAGATAATAGGGAGATTATAGGGTTCTATAAATATGGAAATATTTTAGGGGCCCCTGGGTGAGTCAGTTGGTTAAGCATCTCACTCTTGATTTTGGCTCAGATCATGATCTTGGGGTCCTGCTGTGGAGCCCAGCATCAGGCTCTGTGCTCAGCATGGAGTCTGCTTGAGGATTCTCTTTGCCCCTCCCCTCTGGGGGCCCATACCCATGAATTCTCTCTCTCCCAACTAGTTTTAAAAAATAAGAAAATATTTTAAAAATTGTGTTCTTCAGATATTGAAAAATCCAAATCCTGCCAAAAGGTTGATACAGTGGATTTTATTGGTTTATCAGGTGTTAGATGATTTGATGATCTACATAGATTGACATTCTACTCAATTTTTTTTTCTGTTTACAATGTGTATGAAGGTGATTTTTTTGTCGTAAGGTACTATTGAAGTTTGACCTGAAGTATTAATCTGTACATGGCCATGCTCTGCCAGTGTTTCAGGAATACATGGGAACACATGGTGACCCTCCCATGTGACCCTTAGGTATGAAGAGAAATTAAAATTAACCTGGCTTTTTTTTTTTTTTTTTTACTCTTACAGGTGAGCGAGTACTGTGCTTTCATGGGCCTCTTCTTTATGAAGCAAAGGTATGAAATCTGTTTTCCTTTGAGAAGTTAGCTGAAATGACTGCAGTCAGATGACTTTTGAGCATCAGATTTCAGTGGTTGGTAGGAAGAGAGTTAGTTGCCTTGTTCAGATTGGTAGTCCATAGAGTCCGAATGGGTCAAGTACAGTATTGCCACCTTGTCTTTTACCTTGTGACCTGCTGATGGCCCAGCAGCTGGAGGGAGCATTTGAGGGGAAAGGTAAAAGCCTGATTGTTTGTGGAGCAAGTGCATTGTGTACTTAGTGACTTATGAGAAAATACTGCCAGTTTTGGGTGTAAATGATGCTGAGTGAGCTCTAAACTAACATGGCTCTGTTAAAGATAAACGTGAACATTAAAAATGTGACGACATTGAACTTGGTTTGTCTGTCAGAGTTTGAACCCCAGGGGCTTCCTTTCCTCTGTATCAGTGCTGTGGTCCCGCAGTCAGAACTGATTTTACATTTAGCCGGAGGTAAATGAGATGATGTGTTCCCAAGTAAAACAGATTTCTGAAAGTATATTGTTTCTGCTTTCAGTGCAAATATGTTGTGTGACTATTTTTAACACATAATTTTTAAAAACAGTGTATAAAATAATAAAGCATTTAGTTAATAAATACAATTTCTACAGCATTTTTGGTATTTATATGTTTGAAAATGGTCTTAATCTTGAAGTGCCCATGTGACCAAATAATAACTGTTTTTACGACTTCTCAGTTGTTTCAAATACATAGATGTGTGTTTTTAAAGTTCTAAAATGGCTGAATTTGGATTCATGGAGAATCTGGTAACTTTGTTTTAATGATGTCATACTAACACTTCGTAAGTTGTGAATTCTATCAATCGTTTATATCTCTGAATGTTACTTTGTCGTGTCACCTCCACTAACCTGGCAGGTTTTTTCCCTCAGGCAGCAGAAACTACAGGGAATGATTTTTAAATGGCTGTTGGGATGGCTTAAACTATCATGGTTCTCTTGGTTTACTGAAGATAGACTTAATCCAGAACGAGTAGTGATTGCTTGTCATAGTTAATGACTTCCTCATAATTCATTCTAATTTGGCTTCTTTTAAGAACATAAAATGTTTTTCATTTGTCACTTGGCTAGTTGCTGATATTCTGCAGCAGAAAACAGTTGATTGCCTTCCATAGGTAAATGACACTTTTTAGTAATTTGGTATAAATAATTTTCTTTAGCTAAGTTTGTTTTTGAAATACATAATGGCTTCTGGTTGGTAGACTTTGAGAAAGTGCAAACACGGCTTTAATTAGCCGTTCTTGGAGCGCTGAGCCCATTGATTTAAGCGTCAGGGTGACCTCTTAGGGGGTTTTCAGCTTTGCTAGACTGAATCCAACAGATGGTGACTCTGAGCATCTTTATGACTGTTGATGAGTGTGAGGAGCCCGGGGCTTGAACTCCTGCCTCTGTGAGAGTCACATTTTGTTGTGCTGAAGGGAGTGTCTCTGAAAGATCGCATACTTGAAAAGCACACGTGATGGTTGTCTTTTTCAAAACATATTTCTGAGTGAACTTTTTCTTTTTTATTTCAGTGTGTAAAGGTTGCCATAAAGGACAAACAAGTGAAATACTTTATACATTACAGTGGTTGGAATAAAAAGTGAGTATTAGTATTAGATCTTTAAGAGCAATGTTTTATTTCTAACAAGGTAGCTTGTGTCCTGTGTGTCATGATTTTAACCTAATATATTTCTCAAAGCAAGGGTATTGCATTTGTAGTGTGAAGAAAGTAATAGAAACGAGGGTACACAGCCATTTCATTTTGAATTCTTTGGATTATATCTGTTCTAGTAGAATGTCTAATAATTGTTAGGCATCCAACTATTTTTTGGTTTTGGTACATTTTAGTACAGCTTGAGTTTTTTGCCTCAGCACAAATTCATTTACTATATGTTATTGTAAACAGTTATACTCAGAGCTAGTTGGATTTTCCTACCTAGAAAAGGAAAAAGGATAAGGTTGCCTGATTAGGAAGTAATGACCAACTTTTATATTCTGAGCTTTGGCAACAAATTAGGCAGAGAGTGATTTCATATGGTTCACTTTTTAGAATATTAATACAGATACAGAAATTTAATTACACAACCTAATGTTTCACCTTGAAGAGTTATTAGACTTTTTTTTTTTTTTTTTAAGGAGTGGTGTACTGATCTGTTACTGGGAGTGGACAATGGTCATAGATTGAACACATTCTAGAATATCTAGCCCGTGGAGCTCTTGTTCAGTGATGAGGCTTTCTCTTTGGGACCCCAAATATCACACACAATGGACTCCTTTTTTTGGTGCTTAAAGTTGAAGAGCCTGTAATTTTTACTATGAGAGGTTTTAAATGACTTTATTAGTGATGTTTTGTCTTTCAGAGATTGCTAGAAAGTAGTTCTTCAGGGGTCGTTTTTTTAGCAGCTTAAAAGGCTTTGTGTCACCTGTGCCCTGTGCATGGTCCCCCATCTGGTTTGATGAGCCCTGTTGGTATGCAAGGAGGTATTCTTTGGGACTTTGGTCTTGTTTCAGATGACACAACCCAGTTTGATTTTTTTTTTTTTTTTTTTTAAGAAAAGTTTTCACAAAATGCTTTTAGCTAAGAAGAAATACCAGACCCTTCACTTTTCTTCCATTAGTATAGTTGTAGAAAGGTGGAAATCTAAGATGTGTAAAAGCACATTTCTGACAACTTGTAATTTTCCCCCCCATTTAATGATTAAACTATTTCTGATAATGACAGCATTTTAAATAGAGAAATTGGGAAAGCAATGGAGAAAACTATCCTTTTGTCTTGTAGAAGTAAACTCATTGTAAATGTGATTTCAGTAGGAGTGCTAAATTCTCATATCCAGGGAAGTTCATCGTATGGCTCCTGGTGTATATTGTAGATTTATTTCCCTATTGAGAAAATGTTTAAACTGTATTTCAGTCTTCTATTATTTTACGTATACTCTGTCAATATTGGGTAAAGTTGAGAACATTACAGTAAGAATCTCCATTCTCTACAGGTCATAGACTATCTCATTTGTGTGCATATCATGTGTAGGAAACTTAAAGTCCATCTAGGAAATAAAAAAAAAACTTACATTCATGGCATAGCTTTGTCCCCCTCTCCATGTACACTTGTAAATAGTTATTTTAGCATTTCATTGTTATAGCTGTGAATACAGTTTTTGTGCTTAACTCTTTTATGTACAATATACGAGTAAATGTATAGCTTAAAGACTTGGGTTTTGAGTGACATTTGTAGCTTCTAAAAAATTGTGAAAGTGCCAAATGCTTGTATTTCCTGATTTTTTGGCTTCAAAATAATGTGTTTTCCCTTTTTAGGGTTCAGTAACAAAAGTAAATGATAAGCTGCATAGATTTGTTTTCAGCTAAGTTTATATGCTGATTCCTTGAAAAAATAATTTAAAAATGGCATTAAACATTGGAGATCTTTAGTATCTTTGTAGATGTGTTGAGAATATTAATGAACAAAGATGTATTTTTTATAGGTGATTAGGAATGTAGATCAATATATGTAATTTTGGAAAATTTGATCTTAGTTTTTAGAGTTACCTTTAAATAAGCCCATTTTAAAATGAGGAGTTACTCAAATGCCCAGCAAGCGTGTTACATTTATGTTTAGTACTGTGTAAGCAGTGCCACGGGTCAGTGTTATGTGGGAATTAGTGACAAGCTTCCTTTGAAAATTCTGAATTTTTTTTTTTTTTAATTCTGAACTTTTTTATGCTTGTGACCTGTGAAAATTTCTGAACATCTGGCCTTGAGTTGTTACTACCTTCAGTGATATTCCTCAGAGCAAAAGGTGTTACTTTATTTTCCTGTGGTTCAGCAAGGATTTTCAGCTTCTGACACATAAAGGAAAGTCTGGAATTGATTTGGTTTTTATTTATTTTTAAACTTGTTATTTAAATTTTTTTTTTTTTTAAACTAAATGCTGTGCTCAGTGTGGGGCTTAAACTCATGACCCGGAGACCAATGAGAGTTGTGTGCTCTACTAACTGAGCCTGCCAGGTGCCCCTTGATTTGGTTTTTAGATTGAGGTACTTATTTAGATGCATCTCCTCTCAGAATGGAAAGGGATTTGCAGGCCTTAAAATGGAACTTCATGGTAAATAAAAATTTGCCATCTCTTAATTTAGAATGGGAATAGTTCTAAGATGTATAAATAAAAGTAAGATTCTCACTTTGAAAACGGTTTGTAGGATACTTTTAGAAAGTCATACAACAAAAGCCCAATTTCCAAATTGGAGTTTTTTTTAACTTTAGTAAATATGTAAATATTTTCAAAAGCACAGTAGATAATATATTTCTAAAGTTTCAAAAACCTTACCGGAACTTGTTGACACAGACAATTAAATATTCCATTTATAAATAAATCTTAATAAAGCTTAAGCTAAATTCTGCACCTAGTGACTGAGATTACTTTGTACTATGCTGTCTGTATCAGAAGTGCTGTGAGGCCCAGGCGCTCTGAACAAACTTTGAAGACACGTGAGGATATTGTAGCCCTTTTTCCTGTTCCTGAAGGAGCTCCCTCAGTACACCACCCCCTCCTGACCTCTAGGTAAATGCATGTTTTCAAGTTTTCTCTAGGAAATCATATTGAGGATTGCTTTTTCATTATTTATTCTCCTTTTGGCTATCTTATGTAAGAGGTCAGAGGTGGGAAATCATTAAATGAAAGATTTTGTTTTGAGGCTACATCTGTGTCACTAAAGGAGCTCCCTCGGCAGGAGAAAAGAATCACTTTGCATGAATAGTTAAGCCTTCCCTAAGAAATATTTTGTTTTTGTTTTCCCCTTTGGGGAGAAAACCACATCAGAAATCTGGAAGGAGATTTTGTACATGCCAGGATGCTTAAGCAACTAGATATTTTTCAAGAGTGGTTGGTTCTACCTCCTGATGTTCAGAAAGCCATCTCTGGATATGTCTTGGATGTTAGTACATTCCTTCGTCGTGAGTGAGTGAAGGTTGAGGACTGTGTAGTCTGATAAACTATGATAATGGTTTGATCTACAGTCTTAGAATAGGTCTGGATGGTACTTGAGTGTGATCAACTTAATCACGTTTCTGACCTACCTTTAGTGTTTATGTGTCAGACTCGCAACTATTGTGTATATATATTATTGAATTCTTAGAATAATTCTGTCAGGGTAAGTACCGTTACCCCCATTTTACAGGTGATGATAATAAGACACAACTAGTTCTGTCTGTAACTTTGCTGTTGTATTACAATATTATTAGCTTTTGATGGACTCTTTCATTTTTTTGGAAATTAAAATTCTTTAAGATCTCTTTATCCTGTAAAGGTAGTTGCTTAGAGACTCTTAAGTGTCATGCTCTTAAGTCATTTGAAAAAAGGATTTGAGTAATCTGCTTTTGGAATCTGGCAGATTTAGAATGCTGCTTTTGATATGAAATGTTTACTTCCTTTACAGAACAGATTTTCATTGGGTTTTCATTTTTAGTTGAGAATGGATTTGTAGTCCTAGCTAGTTAAATTTTGTCAGAGAAATCCAAAGTCTTACCTCTTGGATCTCTAAAAAGTAATTGGTGGACAGAATCTAAATAGTAGTAAAAAATAATTTTGAATGATAATTTAACTTCTCTTTTTCAGTTGGGATGAATGGGTTCCAGAAAGCAGAGTACTCAAATATGTGGACACCAATCTGCAGAAACAGCGAGAACTTCAAAAAGCCAATCAGTAAGTTTTGCAGCACGAGTATGAGAAATGAGAAATGTCTATAAATTAATTTTGAGAAATGGAAAAGTAGAAATCATGTTGGCTGCCTGCCTAAAAAATGATTCTTGGTACCTGTCAGCTGCTGTGTGGTGGGGCTTTAACTTCAAGCAATCAGAGAAGCCTTTTCTAGAAAAAAGGAGTTGTTAGCATACCGGTCATTTCTTGAGTCCGTCCATAGAGTCAGGTAGAAAATAGCAGGATGTTGTTGGAATTCCTGTAGTTGCAAACTCACTGTGATCTTACTTCCTGATTCTATTATACTTGGAAAGGGACATGGGACGTCAGTTTGAATATAAATCTCAAATGGAATCAAGGTGGCACGATTTACTTTTCCACATACTCATTTAATGACAACTTTATTGAAATTATTTTTGAAGGGAGCAATATGCAGAGGGGAAGATGAGAGGGGCTGCCCCAGGAAAGAAGACATCTGGTCTGCAACAGAAAAATGTTGAAGTGTAAGAAGCTCTCTTTGTTTTAATTTTGCATATCGTTTTATACGTGAAAATCAAACTCAGTACTCATTATCATGTTTTAGGATTTATTGAAAATGGAAATTGGAACATTTTTGACTTGAAAAATGCCAATGAGAATCGCATTCTCAGGTGTTGGGTTGTTGAAAATAGGTGATAATTAAATATTCCTTAATTTCCCTTAGGTTTTTGTACCACCCTGCCCCCTTTTTATTATGGTGAAATATATGTAACTTAAGATTTACCACTTAACTCCTCTTTAAGTGTATAATTCAATGGCATTGATTATTTTTACAACCCTTATTTTTTAAGATGTATTTGTGCATGTATGTTTTTTAGAGTATTATCAGTTGGATACAAGTCAGGTAAGGTATTTTTTGGGTAGATTTGGTTCTCCTCTAGCACTAAAAATAAATACTAGTTTAATTCTCTTGAAACCCATGGTGTAAAAATGTGTGAGATGTTAAAGTTTCAAATTACCTATCCACCCCATGGGAGGAAACTTTTCTTGTTAACTCTTAAGATTTAGAATATCTTGGTAAAAAAAACAAAAACAAAAACAAAAAAACAAAACTGTGTGGAAGTCATACACATAAGACAAAAACTTTAATCAAAAGATCATTTTATTTCTTGTGATTTGATTATTCTCCTTTAAAAACAGGTAGTTTAATGAGAGGTTGTATTCTTGTCAAAGGATCAAAAGTGACAGTGCTCTAAAATATGATTTATCAAAGAGAAGTTTTTCCTTAGGTCTGACTTTACTACCTAAATGTGAGATGTTAGTCATGAAGGTAATTAGACATTTTGAAGGTTGAGGTGATAATTGATGGCCAGGGAGTGGGTGTGCCACTGAGGATAGCCTGTAGCTTTCATTAATAAACAATAACAAATGATGCAGTTTTTTTGGAAAACTGCCATGTGGTAGTATTCATTAGGATTTTAATAGCAAGTGAGTCTTAAAAGTCATCAACTTCTCATATGGGAGAATATGATGGATTTATATCAATAAAATAATACATATTTTTTAAAGATTTTATTTATTCATGAGAGAGACAGGCAGAGGGAAAAGCAGGCTCCATGCAGGGAGCCTGATGTGGGACTCGATCCTGGAACTCCAGGATCACGCCCTGAGTGGAAGGCAGATGCTTAACCGCTGAGCCACCCAGGCATTCCAGTACAATAATATTTTTGATATGTTAATCCTTTATCATGTTAAAAGTTGGTGTAGAAAATTAGTCTACATAGTAGTAGACTTAAAAATTTAGTATTTGAGGGATCCCTGGCTGGCGCAGCGGTTTGGCGCCTGCCTTTGGCCCAGGGCACGATCCTGGAGACCCGGGATCGAGTCCCACATCGGGCTCCTGGTGCATGGAGCCTGCTTCTCCCTCTGCCTGTGTCTCTGCCTCTCTCTCTCTCTCTGTGTGACTATCATAAATTAAAAAAAAAAATTAAAAAAAAAACAAAAACGTAGTGTTTGAATATAAAGGGTACATATAAAAAATGGTTCAGTAATTACATGAAATAAAGTTTTATTTATTTATTATTATTTTTTAAAGTTTTTATTTATTCATGAGAGACACAGGCAGAGGGGGAAGCAGGCTCCATGCAGGGAGCCCGATGTGGGACTCAGTCCCAGGTCTCCAGGATCAGGCCCTGGGCTGAAGGCAGCACTCACCTGCTGAGCCACCCGGTTGTCCCTGAAGTAAAGCTTTAAACTCAATTTTCCCTTCCTTGGAGAATTGGGACCTCTTCACATTTATGGACTCCTGGGTCCTTTTGAGGGCTTCTAGGTGTTTTGGGTCTTCTGTGTCATCAGGTAGGATAAAGGTATATTCTAGGATCACCTGGTAAATTTTGTGCCCTAAGACCTGGAACTTCCTTTTTCTCCAAGAGCCTTTATTAGTAGGAAAGATGGCATTTTATTGAGCTCATTATCTGGGTGGTTAGAGAAGACCTCAAGTAATTTTTAGCATTGCTTTTCCCTAGTAGAATAGCAGGTATATTTTAAAGTATATGGAAATAATGAGTAATTAAGCCTGACAATATTTTTCCCCCATTTCTTTCATTTTGATTTGAGTTTTGATACAATTTTTAATGTTTGGTTTTATCCTACTTGATCTTTAGGGTTTAGTAATTGTTCTTTTTCTGAATATGCATAGAGAAGTAAAGTAAACTTTCTCTTTGTTAACATCTTGGTCCTTAAGCTTTTTTTTTCCTAAACTAATAGTGAATACACGTGACGTTTGTTAGTACTTTGGCTTCAAAAGGTTGTGCTTTGGTTCATTGTTTAGTGGAATGGCTTTTCTTAAGAGTGACTTAGGACTTCTCTTATTTAAATTGAAATCTAACAGCTAATATTTTGACTATATACTTGGTCACAGGGCTTAGAGAAAGAAACAGCACTAGCAGTTTATTGTAGGAAATTTTTGCAATTTGAGAAAGCTTGCTTTTTAATTAACTATAAGCAAGAAGGTTGAAGCAAGAATGTTCGTGGTTCTTTGCTGCTGCGATTCATTTAAGTATAGTTTATAGATTATAGAATTAGGGCCCATTGTCTGTTTTTCCTTTAGTTTTGTCGTATAGAATAAGTGGGTAAGGAATGCCTGTCAGAGCTCTAGGTTTCTCTTAGCCACCACCTGTTCTTTTTTTTTTTTTTTTTTTAAGATTTTATTTATTCATGAGAGACAGAGAGAGGCACAGACACAGGCAGAGGGAGAAAGAAGCAGGCTCCATGCAGGGAGCCCGACATGGGGACGTGATCCAGATCACACCCCGGGCCGAAGGCGGCGCTAAACTGCTGAACCACCCAGGCTGCCCGCCACCACCTGTTCTTGATGTGTATAAGTAAAAATTTATGGTTTAATCTGACCCAGAAATAACTCTCCAACAAATACTTGTGCTCCAGAAGTTTAAACTTAGAGAAGCAGGAAAAAACTTGTACTTTTAAATGGCCAGATTTTTTTTTTTTTTTAATTATTCATGAGCGACACAGAGCCAGTGACATAGGCAGAGGGAGAAACAGGCTCCATGCGGGGAGCCTGATGTGGGACTCAGTCCCGGGACTCCAGGATCATACTCTGAGCCGAAGGCAGAAGCTTAACCGCTGAGCCACCCAGGCATCCCAGATCTTTGTATTTATAACCAAACACAAATTAATTTGAATTGCAAAATGAACCCCATGCTCTAAATTAGGTCAGTACAATTAATAACATTTATAAATGTTCTTTAAAGTAGTAGAAGAGTCCACATAATCCATTGTTCTGGTTCAGTCCCACCAGATGTAGGCCATACTTCTGGGCTTCAAATGGATTTCCTTGTGTTCTATAAATAGTTGTGTGTGAAATTAAAATTAATAATTTACTGTTTGCTAGTTTGTAAATAGACATGAGTTAAGTTGCTGTTAGAAATGTGGTGACCAAGAGTAAGGAGACATTAACTTTGTTCTATGTAGGGGAAGAAAAGAGTATTAGGTGTTGAGAAGGAGGGAGTGTCCAGTTGAGAGTAGTTTAGGGAAACTGGCCAGTGAGGGTGGCATGTGCCCTGCACCCTATTCTCTGAGCTTTCTGGTACTGAGTTAATGGAGGAACTTTATTTTGGTGGAACTAATAATGTAATCTTATAAACCGTGTAACTTATATGCTGTGAACTTGTAAATTAGTAATATCCTAGAACTCTCCCAACATGGTGGTTTTGGTTTATTTTTGTATTATATGGAGGGAGGTGTGAATTTAACTATCGATGAAAATTCTTATCTAAGCAGGAAACTATTTGCAGCTGAGTCTTACCATCTAAGGCAGTATTTCCGTAAGAACTTAACCATTGTAAAGGGGAATTCACAGAGGCAGCTTTAGTAGCAACAATCACTTATTTTTCTTTCTCTTTTTTTCCCATCCCCTTTTAGGAAAACCAAAAAGAACAAACAGAAAAGTAAGTATATTAAGTTTGTTAAAATTATTTACTTTTATTGCATTTTCATTTTGAAATTAGTGTTAAATGTTAAAACCTGAAAACTTTTTACAATAGGCAGATTATGTTGGTCATCTCAAAGATGAGTCACAACAACATTCTATAGAGTCCATCCAGTTCATAGTATCATACGTGGGTAGTAGAGACCCAACTCTGACATTCTTTTTACCATGGAGAGACGTATGTCACAGTTAGTCTTTATATTGGAGAATAACATATTTTGGGGCAGCCCGGGTGGCTGAGCGGTTTAGCGCCACCTTGAGCCCAGGGTGTGATCCTGAAGACCTGGGATCGAGTTCCGCATCGGGCTCCCTGCATGGAGTCTGCTTCTCCTTCTACCTGTGTCTCTGTGCCTCTCTCTCTCTCTCTCTTTCTGTCTGTCTCTAATGAATGAATGAATGAATGAATGAATAAATAAATAAATAAATATCTTTAAAAAAAAACATAGTTTGTAATAAATACCAGATGATAATATTGGTAAATGTTACCTGCTGCTATAAAGTTATATTTTTGGTAAGACTTTAAGATTCTTTGCTTATAGATGCAGGCAACTCCTGTATCATGGGAACATGAAAAGAGGAGGGGGTATCATGGGACTGTTTTCCTCACAAATTTCTCCTGTATTAAGCTGAAAATCTCCTCCTTGTCCTGAATCTGTGCAGCGCCTGGAAACGGAGATGGTGGTAGCACCAGTGAGACCCCTCCACCTCCTCGCAAGAAAAGGGCCCGTGTGGATCCCACTGTTGAGAATGTGAGTGGTTCCTCGGCATATTAGTATCTGTAGTCTATGCAATCAAACAGAACTTGAGTCTTGAGAACATTGTTAACCAAATTAACTACTGAAATAAAAATACTCCTATTTTTGGATAAAGGATTTTTTAAAAATACATCTTTATTTATTTCACTTGTAGCTCTGAATATGTCCCTGTTATGTCTTCCCCAGCTCATCATCAAATACTTGTACAAGACTAAATATATTTCATTGATGTTTCACTGTATAGACTTAACAATTCATATTAAACAGTTTAGTATGTCCGCAGATGACTTAATAAACCCATAAAAAATGCCACAAAAGTTTTATCTGTGCATGCGTGGGAGTTTAGAATTTCTTTAAGTGAAAAATGTCTTATTTCTAAAGTTTGGAATTTGGAAGTAGAGTTTTTGTTTAATTTTAATATAAGTGAAGCCGAGATTAGGAACCTGGTATGCTTAGAGTGGTATGTTTTGAAAACAGGCACTTTTGGGCAGTTAGTCAAGACTTCATTAGGAGTCAGTACATTTGATTTTAGATGTTAAGTAATTTCATGGTAGTCGTGTTTGGAACAGTCCTTGGTATCAGCGATAAATATGAAAATACCAAGTTAAAGTGCACCCATTCTGAGTGCTCCTTTACAAAGAAAAGAAAATGTGATGATAAATTTGTGCCTTCACACAAAGAGGCACCAAATAGACGAATTCTCTGTGAAGACAAGGTTCTTTGCTCCCAGCAGTTTAGCTATAGGGGTTTTTCATTTCGGAATTGTTGAATGCCAACTCTGGCAGTCCATCTGAGTATTTGGTACCTCTAGAGATTGGGAAAATCCCGGGATTGTAGTTGCTGTCTGAAAAGATAGGGTTTCAGTGCCAAAATCTTTTCTGTCCAGGAGGAAACCTTCATGAACAGAGTTGAAGTGAAAGTGAAGATTCCTGAGGAGCTAAAACCATGGCTTGTTGATGATTGGGACTTAATTACCCGACAAAAACAGGTACTTTGAAAGCTACATAGATTGTCATCTAGAGATGTTTTTGCTAGTGTGAAAAAGAATTTTAAGGAAAAATCTATATGGACTTGAATACTGAAGGAGTATGAGTGGTGAGTGTTTTTGTTTTTTTTTTTTTGATGAGTGCTATTTTAATTCAGAGACTGAATAGTGTGATCACCAGAAGGCATGACTTGGAAAGGAATACAAGTACGGCTATAAAGTCTCGTGAGTTTATACTGAGAAAAGGTTGAGAGAACTCAATTTTGGAGGTTGCTAGGATAGGAAATCCTTCTGAAAACCAATAAAGACAAGCATGTGTTTCCTGTTCTGGTGTTACTGAAAATGAGATCTCCTTCCATAATTTTGGGACTAGTGAGATGTGATGAGAAGCACACAATACTTCCAGTAAGGTCTTCTGAATCTGTTCCAGATCCTGTGTCTAATTACTAGTGTAGAGAACACGGCATTGTGAGGTACACGGGGGACATCGCAAGGGTTCCGTCGTCAAATCCAGATAGATGAGCCAAGTCTTAAAACAGGTGGCACGGGCAGGAAGGGGGTGGGCGTGGAGTGTGACTGGTTGGGGCTCATGAGACTTTAGACCTCAGTCATAGACAACATGTGGACCTCATTTGTTCTGGGGCCCAACTCCTGGTGTCAAACCTTGGCCTTACCAGTTAGGATTCGGACAAGTGACTTGGCCTCTCCATGTTTTAATCCCTACCTCACTCCTGATGTGAGGATGAAGAGCAGTTTTAGGAATGCTTCAAACAGGGTCTGGCACATGATGCACGTGTAGTACATAATGTCCGTGTCAGGAGCCAACCACTTCTTTGTGGTGCATTCCATAGATTGTGAGTAGTATGAACGTATGTCCGGTAGGTTGCTCATCTTCAGAGCTGTGCTGTCCAATATGGTAGCTGCTAGTCACACTTGGCTACTTAGTTGAAATTATTAAAAATTTTTATTAGTTCCTCCGCTACATTAGCCTTGTTGTAAATAAATGCTAAACATTGCCATTTTCTATTTCATAACTGTTAGGTGGTCTTTTATTGCATAGAAGCTTTTCCAATGTAATTTTCCTTTAAAAATAAATAAAAATACTGGAATTGAAGTGTATTTTTGTTTTCATAGCTCTTTTATCTTCCTGCCAAGAAGAATGTGGATTCCATCCTAGAAGATTATGCAAATTACAAGAAATCTCGAGGAAACACAGATAATAAGTAAGAATATATAAATTTTGAAAGTATACACAAAAGATTTTTCTTTTAAGTATTATTAGTTCCAAATAAATCCTCTGAAATGTTCACTTTCTCTAAAAAAATAATGCCATCAGAAACCAGCAAAATAAAATTTCATTGATTCGACGTGAGGTTTGGCCTCCAAACTTACTATTTAAAGCACCAGACAGTAAATATTGTATGTGAAATTGAAGTTATTATGTGTAAGTGTATGTAACCACAATACACAATTGTTTGAAGATGTTTTTAAAAACCATTCTTAGCCTCAGGGCTAAAGCTTGCTTTACTTTTGGAATTGATTTTTCTTGTTCTTTTGTTTAGAGCTCTTAAAAATCTGTTCAGTAAAAGTTCATTGTCATAAGTTCAATCTTCAGTTCAAATCTCTCACTCTTACATTAGTTGAATTAATCTCTATTTCTCAGTTCTTTTCAGTGACCTGCTTTGAAATAAAGATTTTTGTCTCTCTGTCAGGGAGTATGCTGTTAATGAGGTTGTGGCTGGAATAAAGGAATACTTCAATGTGATGTTGGGTACTCAGCTACTCTACAAATTTGAGAGACCACAGTATGCAGAGATCCTTGCAGATCACCCGGATGCACCCATGTCCCAGGTGTATGGGGCACCACATCTACTGAGATTATTTGGTAATACCCTCTTTTAAGAAAAAATGTACTTTTTATCCTTTGGGTTTTTTTTTTTTTTTTAAGATTTTATTTATTCACGAGAGACACAGAGTTGCAGAGATACAGGCAGAGGGAGAAGCGGGCTCCCTGTAGGGAGCCCAATGCCTGATGCTGACTTGATCCCAGGACTTTGGGATCACGCCCTGGGCCAAAGGCAGACCTCAACCACTGTGTTTGCCACCCAGGCATCCCTATCCTTTGGATTTTTATTTTTATTTTTATTTATTTATTTTTTTTAATTTTTATTTATTTATGATAGTCACACAGAGAGAGAGAGAGGCAGAGACACAGGCAGAGGGAGAAGCAGGCTCCACACACCGGGAGCCCGACGTGGGATTCGATCCCGGGTCTCCAGGATCGCGCCCTGGGCCAAAGGCAGGCGCTAAACCACTGCGCCACCCAGGGATCCCTCCTTTGGATTTTTAATTATTTTATCTTGGGGTAACAGAAAATAACATAGAGTATTCCATTTCAGTATTCACTTTTTATCTAAAATACTAAATATGAAATCTGTTTAAAAATGAGGAGTTTCTAAAATCTGTATTTTAAAGGAGTCAGCGATTTCATCTGCTCCCATAATGACCATAGCGCTTATAGAGCTATCTTGAATGTAACTTGGACTACATTGTTTTGTTTACACAGTACGAATTGGAGCGATGTTGGCTTATACTCCGCTGGATGAGAAGAGCCTTGCTTTATTGCTCAATTATCTTCATGATTTCCTAAAGTAAGTTTACTGGTATGCTTGAAATTAAAAACATGAAATTAGTACAGTGTAGTGGAAGTCACTCTGATACATTGGCAGTGTGGACAAGAACAGAGCACTGAGGGGTGCCAGAGTTGAGGCTGTTAATGGGGCAGCATACGTGCAAGTGGTGAATGCCACAAACTGCTGGAGTGGTGTCTGATGGAACCAACTAGCCAGTCTTTTTGAAGGATCCATGCTTACTGTCACAGATCAGAATTCTAGACTGAATCAAAAGTTTAAGTTTAAAATTGAATCTATTAAGATAATGATGAGAAAATGGTAATATTTTTCATTATCTTTAGAGTGAGAATGGTTTTTCTAAATACTCAAATTGTAGAGGAAATAGTCGACCATGTAAAAGATTTAAAATTCTGTGATTAAAAATAGTAACAAAGAAGAAGAGTTTTGATCAAGATGAGCAAAGCGATGACAACCAGTACTCTGGGATCCCACAGGGGTGGCAGTACCGTGGGCTCCTGAAAGTGGGGGGGTTCCCATGGTCTGAGGATCTCAGTCCCGTTGGCCAAGATTAAACAGACTGCAGAAATGGAGAAGGAGGGCAGTTGTGTCTGCCCGCTTTTTGGAGGGTGTTCTGGCAATGCCTTTTGGAAGTTCCAGTGTGCTTCTCTTGGACCAGACTGTTATTCCTCTGGGAACTGACCCCGTAGAAAAGTTGAGGTGCATGCACCTTTGGAAATTTGAGATTTCCAAATGCATGCAAATGTAAGATTTATGTGTATGTAGATAGTAATGCAGAATTGTGAACACCCAAGCTGCCATTAGAGGGTGTAGGTGTAAACACACTGATGAGGAAGCTGTCCGTGTTGTGGTGTTGAAACAGCCGCATTGCAGGAAAGCTAGGTGTGGTTGGAGTCCCCTCATTGACAGAGAAACATTTGTACTCTTGGGAAAAGATTAGAAAATTGTGGATCATACTGACGGGTGGGTTAGTTCTTGGGCACAATTGCGGGAGGGAAGGTTGGAGTGGTTAGTTTCTATTTCATACATTTCTGTATTTGAATTTTCTTAAAGTGACACCATGTATTTTATAATCTCAACATTGCAACACATGCCTGGGTATCTACACGGCTTTATAGTGCTTGCTCTGTCTTTATAGTGCTTGCTCTGCCAGTGATCCTCTCTGCCCGATTTCTTTATGAAATGAAAGTGTTCTACTGCTTGAGGGCTTCAGTTCAGGACCCTTGGATTTTTTTTTTATTATTATTTATTTATGATAGTCACAGAGAGAGAGAGAGGCAGAGACACAGGCAGAGGGAGAAGCAGGCTCCATGCACCGGGAGCCCGACGTGGGATCCGATCCTGGGTCTCCAGGATCGCGCCCTGGGCCAAAGGCAGGTGCCAAACCGCTCGCCACCCAGGGATCCCTGGGCCCTTGGATTTTTATGGTGTTTGTCAGTTTCCGAATCTGTTTCATGCAGAGTTTCTAACAGCTAAAAAAAACACCAGATACTCCTTTAGGATGCAACCTCTGCTTTGTAAAGATAGTCTAAGCTCTCGCACTGGTGTTCTGAAAACACCTGTTCTTTTACCATTCTGAAATTGGGAATAACTCTGGACCTACTCTGGACCTCCTCCTTCTTGATGCATGTTGTCTGGTGGGTGTAGTCCAGTGTATCTGAATTGTAACCACAGGGTTTTACCTCGAAATCTTTAGTGTATATTGCAAGAAACTGTGCAGCTTTTGTGCCTTGATTTAGTTCGAGGTAGGATTCTCTTTCATCTTTGTAATGACTAATACTTTATTTTTAGGTACCTGGCAAAGAATTCGGCAACCTTGTTTAGTGCCAGTGATTATGAAGTGGCTCCTCCTGAGTACCACCGGAAGGCCGTGTGAGGCGAGGCGCAGACCCTCGCTTCGTTTGGATCTCTGTAAACACATTTTTGTTTAGTCCTTCTCTTGTACAAATGATGTACTTTGAAAATGTTAGTGTATAACAGAGTTGATGTTTGTTTTCTGTTTGATCTTAAACAGAGAAAATAAAAGGGGTTACAGCTCCTTTTTTCTTTCCTTTTTTTTTTTTTTTCATTTCAAAGTTGCTACCAGTGTATTCAGTGATGGACAACGGAGAGACATACTGTAGATGGTTCTATTGCCTAGTCGACAAAGCTGCTTTGAATGCTGGTGGTTCTATTCCTTTGACACTACGCACTTTTATAATATGTGTTAATGCTCTATGACAAATGCTCTGATTCCTAGTGCCAAAGGTTCAATTCAGTGTATATAACTGAACACGCTCATCCGTTTGTGCTTTTTTTTTTTTTTTTTTTTTTTTTATGGTGCTTAAAGTAAAGAGTCCATCCTTTGCAGGCCATCCATGTTGTTCCTTAGGCATTTTATCTTTGCTCAGATTGTTGAAGAATGGTGGCTTGTTTCATGGTTTTTGTATTTGTGTCTAATGCACGTTTTAACATGATAGACGCAATGCATTGTGTAGCTACAGTTTTCTGGAAAAGTCGATCTTTTAGGAATTGTTTTTCAGATCTTCAATAAATTTTTTCTTTAAATTTCAAAGAGCAGTGTGCTTGTGTGGATGCATTCTGAAACCTTTGTACACTGTGTATTCCTTTCATATCTAGACTCATTTTTCAGGTAGGTGTTTAATTTTTTTGTTTGGCCATATTTATGGAAGGAGGTGGTTGGCTCAGTATTGAGCCAGAGAACCGTTGGCAGTTTGCTGTTGAGTTGTGGCTAGCAGTCCATTTTGGGCAGTAAGGAAATTTTTACCTGCTTGACACTAGCTTTCTAACTATTGTTGTAACATGTTTACGTATACACCATGCCTAAAACGTAGGATTTTCTTAATCATTCATTAACCTCGCCCCTCACTTGTAAATGGAGCATAAGAATAGAGTTGACACGTTCGCCTGATTGTACTGAGGGCAGTAATCTTCCATGGACAGTCTGTGAAGTGTTGGTGAGTATTTTCACTCAGCAGTGATTCTTGGTGCGGCTGGAGAACGGGCTGTGTGGTGGTAAGAGTAGCTGGACTAGAGTATAGTCAGGATGGCCCTGAGGGGCGGCTATAGTTCACTGATGTGTATCAAGAAGTGAGATTGGGTTAATGTTAAAGTCTCTGTTTAATCAACGTATAGCTGAGATAGGTCCTTAGTTTTACACATATGCCATCGTGATTCTGTATTCGTATTTACTGTGAAATGACAGTTGAGGGTGGAGTCCCGGCAATGTTGGACACTTCTGGATCTGCTTGTGGCAAGTGGCGCGATCTAGAGTTTTTAGTCTTATATTTATTTCTTGAGTGAGTACTTGAGCCACACGAAAGGCAAGGCCTGGAAGAGCAGGAAGGAGCTTTGCGTTGTTCCTGACGAGGGTGGTGTGAGACCAGCACTCCTGGCTTCTCCCTTTCCTTCCCTCGTCCACTGCGGTTCAGTTAGTAAGTAGTGCATCACTTCTCCACGTCCTGCTTTAGTACTGGCCTGGAACCTGATGGCCGTATCTGTGAAGGCCTTGCCTGCTGGGGTGACTGGCTCACTGTTGGGGCGGGGAGCGGTGGCTGTGTTCCCAGAGCCAGTGTGTCATGTCAGTGTGCCTGTCGGCACCATGATTACTTGGTTGAGACTTGGGTTTGTATTTGTCCTGTTGAATTAGTTGTGACATATTCTGGGATACCGATCATGCTCTGGGTGATACCACATTTCCATGCCTTTGCCTTCATTCTTCAAAAGTGGAGTAACCCTAAAATGTGTCTACCCTAAATGTGGTAACACAGAGATACTACATGTAAAATACTTTGAATAATAAATAGAACATTGTAAACATGAGGAAAAGAATGTGGGGATTCAGACGGCCTCCTGTTGGGGGTTCTTAGTGCAGAAAGACACAGGAATGTGAACCTCTGCGGGAAGGCCGTGGGAGCTCAGGCCGGGGGGGCAGAGGGGTGGCGGTGGGGTGGGGGGAGCTCATGTGTGGTGCGGCTGTACTGTGCAGTGGTTCATCCAGGTGTGAGGAGGGGGCAGGGGCCTGGTGGGCTGACTGCACAGGTCAGGACGCCGTGAGGTTCTACCTCAGGAGTGAAGGAGACAGAATTATTTCTACGATAAACAAAAGTAAGCTGTTCACCTCAGTGTGTGAGACAATGAAAAATCCAGAGGAGGTTTGAGAAGCAGACTCAGTCTGCTAGATTCAATTTACTTCTCACAGAACAAGCATCCTGAGCCAGCCTCCAGAGAGTCCACATCTGGGAGAGGCTAGGACACTTCATTTTCAGAGAGGGGTGGTTGGGATGGGGAATTCCAGCAGAAACTTAAAAATCCGGCACCTAAGTCCAGAACCAGGACCTTTGGAGAGCTGGCCAGGCCCCAGTGGCTAGGGGCTCTGTGGTGGGATGTATCCCATGGTGACGGCACCTTTGCGGACCCACTGTAGCAATTGATCTAAAGATTGAAGCGGCCCTGTGAACCTTCAGCATGACCCAGGAAAACCCATTTGGACATCTGTCCTTAAAACCCAAAGATGAGGGATGTCTGGGTGGCTCAGTGGTTGAGCATCCGCCTTTGTCTCAGGGTGTGATCCCCCGGAAATGGACTGATTGAGAACATGAAGGGAAAGGTAGAACACGTTGTAAGGTGGGGTCTATCCAGATCTATGTGTATTAGTAGTTGTAAGTGGCTAAATGCTTCTTAAAAGTGTCGCAGTGCTTAAAGGAACAAAACCCGGTATGCTGTTAGGAGGACGCCTCTTAACATCCTGGGTGGTGCTGCAGGAAGAGGGGGAGCTGGATGCCTGAGTTAAGACCTGCTGCTTAGGGACAGAAGCGAGGTTTTCTTTCTCATGGATGGTGGGGGGACTTGCTGGGGTCACAAGCCAGATGGGAGTGCCACCTTGGTGGGGTCCCGGAGGTGCAGCCGTCTGGCTTACTTTGGAGTGTTGCCGTCCAGATGAAGGCCAGCTTGCCACGTCCTGCTCCGCCTACCAAGGCGTCTAGAGCAGGAGGTGCTACACTGGAAACTCGGTGGGAGTAGGAGTCCTTCTGTTACAAACCACGTGCCATTGTTTGCTCCCTGTTCCCGCAGCCCTGGGCTCTGGTTTGCAGAGCATGTCAGGTGTGAGAGCCCGGGCTGTGGGAGGCAGGAGGCGATGTGTGTGTGCGGGGCTTGTGCGAGGCTTGTGCGTCGGTGCTGTCGCCGAGTGAACGGTGCTGTCGCCGAGTGAACGAAGGACTGTTGGTACTTTGAGGCTAACCTATTGTGGTAACCTTTCTTCTTTTTGTTAGATTATTTTATTTTATTTTTATTTTTTATTTATTTATTTTTTTAAATTTATTATAGTCACAGAGAGAGAGAGAGAGAGAGGCAGAGACACAGGCAGAGGGAGAAGCAGGCTCCATGCACCGGGAGCCCGATGTGGGATTTGATCCCGGGTCTCCAGGATCACGCCCTGGGCCAAAGGCAGGCGCCAAACCGCTGTGCCACCCAGGGATCCCTGTTAGATTATTTTAGAGAAACTGAGCAGTGGGGACAGAGGGAGACAGACTTTGAAACAGACTCCCTGATGAGCACGGAGCCCAGTGCTGGGCTTGATCCACCACCCTGAGACCATAGCCTCAGTCAAAACCAAGAGTCTGATGTCTGCCCAGCTGAGCCACCCGGGGGACTCCTCGGATGTTCATTAGTTTCAGAGTATTTGTTACTGCCCGCTGTGTGCCAGGATGAGGCTGGGGATTGTGGCTACAAGAACAGACGGGGCCCCACCTCACGAAACAAGGGAACAGACCGGGAGAGACATCACGTGAGACATCCTCACCCCAGCCTGCAAGTGCTCGGGAGTGAAGTTGGGCGAGAGCCTGAGGAGATCCATGTTCCTCAGGAGGTCAGGGTGGGCTTTCCTGAGAAGGGGGTGCTGGAGCCAAGACGGCATGCTGAGCAACACAGCCTGAGCACGGGACCTGGGGCAGGAGGGGGTGTGGGACCTGGTGTCATCCTCTGCTCCAGGAGCTCTGGGGACCACTTGAGGCTTTGAGGGGAAGAGGCAGGGAGGGCTCACGAGAGGACTGGCGTCTTGAGCCATTACGCTGGCTGCAGGGTGAGCATGGTGGCAGACAGGAGGCCGCGATGATGCTTGGTGGGGCAATGGCAGGGGCTCGGGCATGGTGTGTGCCAGTTTGGTGAGGTGGAGGGGTGGGGTGAGGGGGCCCGCGTAGCTCATCCTGCCAGCTCGAGGGTGTGGGGATGAGGGGATGAGGGCAGGTCCTGACAAGGTGCAGGGATGGGGCTGGGAGGGCAGCACACCTGCCCATGCCGAGCCCGTGGCCCACCAACCGCAGCCTCAGTGCGGAGCTTCCAGGGACCCTGCGGTGCTGCTGGCAGTCGGGGCTGGGGGTGGGCAGGTGGTGCGGTGCAGGGCAAGCTTGGAGCGAACGCGGGACCTCCTGGCCGACCCTGGGCGGTGAAGCTGTGCCCAGCTCAGGCCTGGCTTGGGTTCCCAGGCGTTTGCTTCCCCACCCTGAACCTTGGTCCCTTTGCCTGGGGAGGGGGCTGCTGGATGGTGCGGCCATGTGCCCAACAAGTGTCCCGGGCTGTGGACTCATGAGTAGTGAACGTGATCAAACAGAGCAGCCCCCTTCCAGGGTGCTGGAGAGACTGAGTCAGTTCTGGAAGGTTCCCTCTCGCAGGAGTTAGCTGTGGGGTTGGGGGGGGGGCAGGCTGAGCGACAGGAGGTTGGGCTCCAGAGGCTGCCCCGCGGTGGAGCAAATGTCCCTGTCCCACAGACATCTGCATGGTCCTGGCACCCACCACAGACCTGCAGAAGCTCTTGGGGCAGGTCCACCCCACCCCCTGCACCCCTGCTGGGTCATGAGAGCCAGGGGGTTTTCTCTGGATCACCCGAGCTGCTGGTGATGTGTGTGGAAGTCCATGACCCCCATGTGCGCTTGCCGTGGTTCTGGGGCACCTGAGGCCTGTCCTCCGCCTTGGGGACTGGCCAGGGTGGGGGGGTGGGGTGTGGAGGGGGCCCACCAAACATTTTCCTCCACTTTTCATT